GAAGTTGGTGGATTACACCAAAAACAATGCGATTTTGTATTTCCTTTATTATTCCTGATTAGTAGTTTTTTGATTTAGAACATGAATAAATATTTATCATAGCAATTAAATTATAATATGGGATTGATGTTTAATAATTTAGTATTGTAATTTTTTCGGAGAATTAATAAAAAATTATAAAGTAGTTATAACTTTTATGTAAACGTGTATAAAAATTGAAGGGTTTGACACAAAACTTTTTAGATAATAACTTGTTGTTACTTATAAATAAATGGCTTGCAAAAAATTTTCATCAGAGTGAAAAATATAATTTTATTATTTAATGTTTCGTGGTAATTTCAAATTAGCAATTAAATTTTTCTAACGCCAATAATTTTTGATATTATTACTAATTGGTTACAACTTTAGGATATAACTTAAAGGAAAATAGATCTGAATTTTTCAACTGTATCATCTATTTAAACTTCAAGAGTTACATAGAAATGATGAATATTTCTTTTGAAATGATTTATTACGATAAAAAACAAAAAAAAATTGATTTTAAATTATTAATATGTTTTTGATATTTAATATGTTAAAAATAATTAAGACATAATATCATTTTTAACCTATTTTGTTGGTCTTTAAAAGTTGAATATAAAGCTTATAATAAAAAAAAACTGAATTTGTTACCATAACTTTTAGCTCAACTTAAATTTTGAAATTTATTTAATAGAAAATTTTATGAGAATTAAAATAATATTGTTAAGATTAATATGCACTCGGAAATTTTTATAATTACTATTTATAGTAAATTTATCAGAAAAGCTCAATATTTGTTTGCATTTTTATCGTAATGGATCACTTAAATAGAAATAATAGTAATCATTTTCTAGTAACATTTGGTGTTTAAAAAGATTCTACAGTTGAAATATGCATAACTGAATTAATTTTAATGATTTACTTTAACTAAAAAAACAATAAAAGATAGTAAAAATCCATTGTTAAATTCACGTGAAATTAAAAATAATTTTCTTAGAAATGATTTATATAGCAAAATGTTACCAAAAAATTTGAAATATTATTGACGGTAGTAACACACAAATAAAGTTAAAAGATTAATAAATTACAAAATAAAATTATTTAATTTTGTAGTTGAAACCTATTATTATATCAAACCATAAGAAAAATTTTTGTTAGGTATTTTAAAATAAAATAAAATACAAAATCGACAATTTTAACACAAAAATAGCATTCTTTAATGTTTGTAGGAGCATATTTAGCTTTTTTATTAGGTCAACTAATTATTAACTAATTTATTAAGTCTTTTGTATTACTAATACATTTTTAAATGATTAAGTACTTACTGGTTTATAATATATGTACCGTGAAAAAAATTTTGATGTTACGCGTGAGTCGTCAAAAGTTGGAGAGAGCGTTCGCCGCCGCCGCTCGGTGGTCGTTCGTGGTTCAGCAGATGGACTTTGCAACTTGGTTAAAAAGCGGGGATATTGTAATCGGGNTGGTTAAAAAGCGGGGATATTATAATCGGGATTGAATCGCGATGTAATAAAACGACTGATGAGAGAAATAAGATATAAGTATAATAAGCGTAATGCTAATATGTGGTACCGTGTCAACTGTTTTCTGTAGCATATGCGAATGTATGAGCACAGGCTCGACAGGAAAATTTAAAAATCAAATGTATTAATAAATTTACTTTATTTTATCGGACGATTTATTTTTACATGGGTGGATTTCATTCAAACCGGATTAAGAGCTTACACCCGTGGGCTCACGACCTTAAAGAACCCATCTCGAATTTTACTAGCCTAGTTATGAATAGTGACAGAGATTTTATGGTTTAATTTTTTTACTCATCATTTTTTATGGTAGCGATGTTTTCCATAGAAAAATAATATAGCATAATATTGAGATTTTTGTTTTAATTTTTAAAATTGAGATGATTTTTTTAAATTTTTTGCGCTAATAGTCCACGAGTTCCCCTGAGGTTTTGTTGGCTTGCGCCTACAGATACCGTCCGTGCCTTAGCGCTAAGCGCTATTAACGGGCGGTATAGAATTACTGCGGTGGGCAGTCGTATAGACAGCTAGCGCAGAATGTCTTCTATGGAACACCAGCACCGGTTCCCGTGAGGGTCCCGCACCTTTCTTGAGCCGGCCGCGACACAGTTAAGTGCCTCGTTGGGTCCGGTCTCCCACTAGGTGTTGCGGTTTTTGGGGTACTATCTAGCGTTTGTCCCATAGCCACCACGTTGCAGCCGAAGTAGGCTCCTCAACCTTGGAGGGCACCGGTTTCCGTCGCAACGTTAGTTGCGTCAGTTGCCAGTGGGGCTCCCTCCTCCCGTGGTACTGATTGGGTTTATAGTTGACATCGGTGGGTCAACTCGAAGCGCCGCATTTGCGGCGGTTCTGCCACTATTTTGCGCTAATAGTCCAGTGAGATCTGAAAAAAAAACGCACATCATAGTAAAACGAAAATTTCTCAAATTCACATAGAAGCTAAAAACACAAAATTGTACAAAAAAAAAGATCGTTTGTCGTTTAAAACTATAAAAGGGCTTTTCTGTTAATGTATCATTATCCTTCCCAGGACTTCGGTGCATTATTATGTATCTATATATTTTTTTAATGAACATAATAAGGTTGTATTTATATTGAAGAATTTTTTTTTACTTTGTCCTATTACATGTTGTTGAAATTCATTTTAACCTGTTTTTTATAATTTTCTAATAATTAAAAAAATTAATTAAGATCTGAAAATTTCAATCACACCATATTTTTATACGCTAGAAGTTACTAGAATTGACTGCTAAGCTTTCTATTAAAATTATCTATGACGATATAACTGCAAAAAAAAAAACAGTAACTTTAACGAAATCGTGAACCTTTCTCATAAATGTACTAATAATAGTAATTATAAATGTTTCTAATCACATGTCAATCTAAACAATACCATTTCTTAAAACTTCATAAAATTTACAATTTAATGATAGGAATTTTAAATATTAATATTGAACCTAAAAAAAAGTTCTGTTATTAAATTCAACGTTTTAAAAATAAATTTTCGTAAAATCAACTTTAAGATACTCAAAAATTGGTGTAACATGATGTCATCTCTTTTTGGAGGCTACATAATATTATTGTACATTTGTAACACTGTTTAATTTCTACTCCGCCATATTTATTGAACGTTGTAATTAAAAATCATATTTTTCTATTCATTTCTACGTCTTGTAATCTTGTCGGAGCACGTAAGTATTTATCCTGTCAATTTTAATTACATTTCAATTATTTTTAACTTTGTTTGAAATCATCGATATTTTCCTTTTAATTGATTTTTAATTAATTAAACTTTCTTTTCTGAAAATTAAATTGTATTCTGTATATGTTAATATTTAAATATAAATTCTAGTCAATCCCTTTATATTNATATGTCAATATTTAAATATAAATTCTAGTCGTTCCCTTTATATTGGCCATACTTAAAATAAGTAGTCTGAACTCACGTAAAATCCAACATTAAAATTGTTCGATATCATGTGAAACTGATAATAATTTGAGAAAATACTTTTCATTTTAATATGTGAAGAGTACTATTGATATTAGGTATATTTCGATCCAGCTCTCTCGTATGATCGACATTATGAAATTAAATGTTTGGATAACAAGAGTTTGATATTTATATACTAAATACCATATTAACTAATTTTTCAATAGACTACTGAAAAATCTTTAATATTGACTTGCACCAGTTTTACTCTTACTCCCATATATTTATTAGAAATTGACTCTACCGCCGTTCCACGTTTTTTATAATCTGTATAATATTTACTATAAAAGTCTTGTCATGGTTTTAATTATCTAATTTTTCAATAATTCATAAGGAAATTTAAACTTAATTGTAACTAGAATAAAATTTTCAAAAGGCTAAATTTATTATTTTCCACACCATGAAAAATATTTTATATATAACAAAAAGTGTAATTTCCTACATTTTTGAGCTGTCCATGGACCTACNTGTAATTTCCTACATTTTTGAGCTGTCCATGGACCTACAGCTTTCTATACATGATAAGTTTAATTTTTCCACTAATTTTTTTTTAAGTAATAATATATATTATTAGTAGTAATAATTATGAAATAACATATTCATTAGGTAAATTTATACACAATTTTCATTTTAAAATATTCTTTACCTGTTAAAATGTTGAATTAATATCAAAACATAGGCCAGTCATAGCATATTTGCAAAACATGACAATTAAAATCCATGTCTCATCAAAAACTTCTTTACAAAGAAAATGTGTTATTTAATGTGTTTTATTTAAAGGAAATTAAAAATATCAAATATGATGAATTCAAACAACACAAGTATAAACAAATTTAAGATTTCAAAAATATTGATTAAATACTGTTTTTTTTACAGATAATTGCAAGTCCTCGAATTTAAAAAAAAAAACCATTTTGTTTATGGTTTATAGTGACAAAACTATAATACAATATACGATATAAATACATATATATTTTTAATTGTTTATCATAAAATATAATTTTATTTAATATTAAATTAAACAAATTTTTAGGGATTCAGGTGTAATCAGGTGACTCGTATAAATGGCCCGCAAAATAAACTTAAAAAAATTGGCAACAGTTTTAATAAAATATAAATGTGATCCATGTTTTTGGAAAAATATTAAAATTGGTGATGAAGTTATTTATGCTGCTGCCAAAGCATGTTTGAAAAATACATCATCAATTTCACGCAAAAGAATTGCTCTTGTAAGTTAAATATATGTTTTAACTAAGGAACTAGGTTTACATTATTTTTTAATAATAACTATGCAATAGTTTCTATTGTTTTATTAAGACTTATATCATTATATACAAAGTATATTATTATAAATTTATATATATATGAATACTTAGAGATAAGAGGTTTAATCGTGTTTTTCTTAGTATGATTAACTAATGTAATTTATTCGAGAGCTCCGTTTATAATTTTTTTTATCAAATAACTATTTATAATTTGTTAGAAAAATAATTTATATGAAGTAAATTAATTTTGTTTTCAGATTTTAGTGGAAGGAAGATGCAATATTTTAAATGTTTATAATGGAATCCAGGAGCAAAAAACAAATTTCATGGATCAAGTAAGGTGTATTTTATTGAATCAAATTGTAAATGTTACAGATGTGAATTCAGACATTATTCTAAAAGTTTGTAAGAAATTAGGTTTTAATTTTAATAAAAAGTCCAAGATTCAGAAAACTTTGATCATAGAAAAAGTAAGGTTAAGCATATCTAGAATTATTAATGAATTTAAAACTACTGTATTGAAAAATAATATTGCAAATTATGCAACAAATAAAAGAATTAAATAAAAATGAATTGGTGGAAAAATGTGTGATTGAAAATTCTAATATTCAAGAGGTAATTATTCATAAATAATAAAATGATATTAATACTAATTTTTCTATATTTCAATGGTAACTTGATATGACTTGAAAAATTCCAATTAAAAAAATCATAACATTAAAAAAAAAAATCTTTTGTAGTATTTATTTGATTTAAATATCCAAATAAATAAATTATGATATTATTTGTAATATAACTTCCA